CCCACTACCCTGACGTCCAGCACGTTCTTATCCGAACGTACCGCCGCTCTACGAGAAACGGTCCATTATGTGCCTTTCATTCCGCCTACTACAGTCCATTTCCATCCGACCTTCATAAGCACCAGCACCAACCCACGTCTTTCATACCCCAGTCTCCTACGCGGACTTACGGATGCTTAGGCACTTTCCTCGCGTACTCAGTCCAGTCCGACCATCCATTGCACCGGACAACAGTCTTTTCAGACGCCGAATCTCCTATATCCCGTTTGAAAGCTACGGTCCCTTCAGGCCTTAGTTCGCACATAAGTATAGGTCCTTCCGAGATTCTCATACTAACCACGACAAACGGTTCGGTTTCACTTGAACCACACCTCATGGTCTCCCTGCCAGACTACGGTCCTTCCGACCAGAGAAAGCAAATTAACATTGAAGATTGGTAATTTCCACTATGTAATTGCTCTATCGTAATGATGTACAATTTGCTACCATCAATCCAAAGGCTTTACCAAGAGACGGCTCACATTTGTACGACTAACACCTATACTAGTGGAATTCATTCAACAGGATACGCTTGGTGGACAGAACCCTCGTAGTGTTTTCTCTTACCCCTTTTTCAGGGGTTTTTCCACAGTAAAAAACTCTGATGTCTCTTATGAATGTTTCACAACTCTCTTATTACTGCTATGTGTGCTGGACATCTTTCGTACCAAGTGTAAAGTGGACGTTAAATATATAATTAGTTCTCTAAATCGAAGAGTGAAATTCCAAGCGGCGAACAAAAAGAGGAAAAAGAAATCGAGTAAAAATATCTTGAATTGTAAAATATATTAAAATTGTGCTTCACACATTTTTTCACTCGTGGGAAATATTCCAGATCTGATATACTAAAATTTGACAGTGTTGGATGGAATTGAGCCTGAAAGTTATAAACTGTTGGCCCACAGAAGTACACTTGGATCTGTGGCCTACCCGGCACATTGGGCCTATCATGAAGATTTGAAGGTACTCGAATGACACAATTAGCTATTAATTTTCTTTACGAATATGAAATACTCAACAGATATTGATTTAACACTTAAAACGATTTTAAGAAAGTACCAAAACATTAGGTACTGCTAGGATTTAATTTTTTGCTCTAATATCAATCAATTATTATTCATAATCTAATATAAAGAGTATCAAATTGTTATAATTATATATAAGGACAAAGTCATTGAAATACATTTACTACTATCTCACTAGTATCAATATTTATGTAAGTTTATTGAGCTAAAAAAGTCATACATGATTGACCAATTTTTGAGCTATATATTGAAAACATACTTTTGCTCTTATATATTGGGAAAAACATTATCAACAAGTTAAATCATTGAGTGACTCATTTGAAATTGTAAAATTACAAATAAATGAACCTGGCTCAAATTTAAGACAAGCTAAAGATGATAATAATTCGATGTAAAGAAAAGAGATTTATAGCAGTTTGTATTTTGTAACCTAAAAAGCTGTTAGTAAAGACAAAGAAGAAATAGCTATCGGTCCAATATCAGAGGTATTAAATACTAATCGGCAATGATTACTTTTTATAAATATAACACTATTATAATATATGACAAATAAATATATTTACAACTGCATATTGCTTTACCTTTTTTACTTTACTCTGGATATATCTAACCAAACAAGGGAAACATTTCTCATGTGTTTACTTTGCATACAACCAAACAGCCTCAAAGTATTTGGAATGCACTGCATTTACTTTACACTGCATTTACTTTACATTGCATTTACTTTGCAGGCAACCAAATAGCCCCTTTAGCAATTTATGTTTCATTATATTTTTAATTTATAATGTATCATTTGATGGGTAAATTTCCTTCAAATAAAAGAATAATATTGTGAAATTATCAAAAAAAAAAGTTATCTTTTTATGACACCAATTGATAATTTGATGTTTTATCAAATTAATATTGAGTTTAAATTTATTTAAGTTTTCAAATTAATATTGACTTTACACAAAAAAATATCATAATACTTAAGAGTTTAAATTTGCTATATTAAGATATTTTTCAATATCCTAAAATTATTTTTGCATGTAACCAAATATTATTCATTTAATGAATATGATTCTAAAAGGTGGCCCTTATTACCTACTCGTATGAATGCTTCAAGGTTCTGAACGAATCACAAGAACCAAAAGTATGAGGCTTAGAAGAGCCCGACTAAGGGAGACACTTGCCTCATAGGAGCTTGACTAAAAAGAGCACTCACCATGACTATGAAGAGCTCGCCAAGAACATTTTTGGATCAATTAGAGTGTGCTCATCTTAGAAGAACATGCCCGACCAAGGTGATCATCTCAAAAGAACTCGTTTCTATTAATGGATCACTAGCCCTATCAACATAAGATGCTAACCAATTTTGATTCAATAATATCGACTACTCCGCCTAAGCAGTTTTTCATCATAGTCACTACTGAAGACACTCATCAGAGGCACCCGAGGGTGATGTTAAATATAGTTGCCCACTTGTCACCACTAGAATCTCATCCACATTTCTGCATCATTTGAATAATGTATTTATTACATTATTCTTTAGATGCAGCCTCCCTTATAATTTTCCCAACCCTATGATGCCAAGTTCATAGTATTAAAAACTTCATGTCACTCTTACTATTAATAGAGAGTCATATAAGTCCTAGAGCATTGCTTCTTAATCATCTACTCTCCTCTCCCTTGTTTTATCTTTCCAATTAGTCTCACGAGTCAATTCAAGATGTCCGGCATAGACTTATTTGAATCCAACAATTACAGCTAGATGACATTATTCTCTTTATTATGTAAGATAATTCCAAATGAGCTCAACATATGAAGATCATGAATTAGAACTTAATCATACAGCCATGCTATGATATTTTTCTAATGCCATTTGTTACATCATGAATTTTCAACTATTAAGAGTCATTATTTATTTTATTCTTGCATGCCTCTAGATTATTTATCGATGCAACTCTCTATGAAAGTTAATCATTCCAAAATTAATCTAATTTACATGAAATTAACGATCTATTTGGAATAGCTCTCTCATTATTTTGTTTTTCATATCGCAACTATAGTTTCATTGAGATCGAGATTTCTTATAACTTATAAGAAACTTTTGTGCTAAGAAGCTGCATTTTGATAAAAAAATAAAATTTATAATAATTATATTAATTTTAAGATCAATATAATATAAAAATTAATTAATTATTATGTTTCACTCCCCATTAGTAGGAATATTTTCAATAAATAAATAGGCTCTGAAGCCCGTATTATTAACAGCCATTTCCAGCTCAACCATCCATCACTTTCCTGCTCCTTCATGCGTGCTATTAGCCCAATATCTCCGGTCAATAATCCAACGGTCGGTCAACACCCATCACTACAACCCACGTTACCCTCACATGCCGCCATTACCGTCTTCTTCATACCATCAGATTTCTCTACTCCCACACAGAAAAAGCCCCCTCCGTTTTTTGCCTATACACTAGACTAGACCTGAAAGCACAAAAGCTTCAAAAAGAGCTCTCATTTCCATCTCTTCTAAAGCAGCTTTGGATTCTTCTCCACCATTCTCTCCTCCATTGTTCAACCCGATGGCTCTGCCTCCCTCTTCGGATTCCATTCGACAGTTGTTATTAGCTTCATTCGTTTCCATTCATTCAATCGCCAGATAAAGCCAAAAGAAAATAATAAAAAAGGGAGGAAAACAGGCAGTGATGTCTCTGAGTAATTATCTTGCTTGATTAATATTCAGAAAGAAAAATGAAGGTTAAATGGAAGATGAAATTATTATTACAGAGTTGAATCCATCAGGAGAAACCATATCCCTCAGCTGCTGCTGTCTGTGTCTTCATAAATGCCGGTGTCAAGACAAAAAACCGTCTTCTTCGCCGAGCAGAAGCGCCATTGGGACCCAATGAAGCTCATAGTTGGGTGTCATGTACCCTGATCATAACTAAGTAGATAGTTTATGATTTCCTTTGAGACGGCTTTCTCAGTGCTTTTTAAAACAGTTTTTTAATTTGTATTAAAAAATTGCTTTTAAAAACAATAAAAAAAAGCCGAAGCCTATATGTGGGTAGAACTGTAGAACTACTGCGCACAAGTGAATGCATGAACAAATCTAATAGGAAATTACCATAATGAACCAATAAGGTTTAAAAATCTAAATTTTCATATGCAGAGATAAAAAATGGAAATAAGCAGAAATGGATCAATAAGCAATGCAAGAATGAATGGAAATGGTGGAGGTGGTTGTGAGGGATGCTATGGACCATAAATGGTATTAGTCAAGCATGCAAGCAAGTCCAATCTTGCTTGTTCAATGGAATGGTTATGAGTTAGTTGCCTTCTCTTTAATTAACAGAGAGAAGAAGAAGAAGAAGGAGAAGGAAAGACCAATACTTCCTTCACCTTTAGATTCAAGGCTTTTTATTTGAACATTGTTAGTAAATGGAATGAGGGAGATGAAATCAGGCTGTTGACCTCTGCTCCTGGATGTTCACTGATGGCTGTGAAGAGCTGGACGCCACACCTACTGTACCATCAAGAAATTTAGCTCCGGCCATTTAGATGAAAGCTAAGAAGATATTGATTTCATGTTGAGGAAGAGATTTCACCTGTGTTTGGGGCAGCAATGGTGGCCGGCAAGGGAAGAATAGCAGAAGCAGAGCCGAGTTGAGGAGGAATATAAGGGTATTGAAGCATTTGGGGGTAATGCAGGCCAAAAGCCCCTTGCGCTTGACTAGAGTAAGAGTACTGCGGGTAGTAAGGATAGAAGCTTGGAAAAACACCCGGCGACGTCGTCGGATAGTAAGGAGAGAAGTGGTGGTATTGACCTCCGGTTAACCCATAATAGTTCTGCAGCAATGGCTTTGATATCAGTTAGTCATTGATGTTTTAATTCCAACTGCTTATTTTCGTTTCAAAACTCACCAAGGGGTACACGCTGTCTTGTGAGTATGCGCCGGTGTAACTGGAGAAGAAGAAAGAAGAGATTTTTCATGGCATTTGAATGTGTGAGTTGGGGAATGGGTAGAGAGAAATAGTGAAATATTTTAGTTGGATTACCCGTAGAGGGAATAAGGCATGGCATAGTGAGATGGTTGATGAAAGTAAGCGGCGCCGGTGGCGACGGGGGCAAGAGAAGATCCGCGATAGGCAGAGGAAGCCATGGGCTGACTAGCCGGAGGCCAAAAACGGCCTGTTCCTGTTGAAAATAATACCCAAAAGAAAAAAAAAAAAGAGTAAATTTACAAGGAAAACATTGTTGCGGAAGAAGGATTGAATAGGTAACAAAGACTCACCAAATTGATTGGCCGGTGGCCGAGGCCGATGGGTTGCGCCAAGAGACGCAAGGTTGCAGTTTGCCCGTCTCCCGTCAATCACCGGCGACGGATCCTGGCAAGCACGAATCGCCGCATTCGGATCAGTAAACGTCACCTGAAAGAGAAAGCGGAGACGATCAGGGAAGAAAACAGAGTAAAATGGAGGCTTCAAGTTCCCATTTTGGAGTTTTAGAGAATACAAAGCCGTAGCCTTTTGAACGGCCCGTGTGCTTATCAGTGATGACGACGGCCTCAAGAATCTCTCCGAACTGCTCGAAGTATCGCCGCATGGTCTCCCTCTGGGTCTCCCACGCGAGCCCGCCAACGAAGATCTTCGTGAAGGTTGTGTCCGCCGCAGGGTAAGGCACGCTGGGATTTCCCCCGCTGCTTCCGCTGCCCCCGCCCATTAGGAATGGCCGGGGAGGTGCTGCCATGCTCGAAACCGACAGGAGACAAAGCGTGAAGAAGATGAGAGAAAGAGAGAAAGGGTTATGTCTTAATGTAATGGAGCGGTTATCCGGCTTTCTATATATGCGGTTCGCTATCTCTGCGTTCTCCACTCCCTTGGATTTGCCATCAAAACGATAGTAATGCCGAAATCATTTCAGGGATGAGCAGGGAAGGGATGAAACTGGGAACAAACAAAGGAGGAGGGGCAGACGGTGGGGAGGAGCAATGAAATTTTACTTATATGTGAATAAGAGGCCAAAGTAGGTAGAGAGAGAGAGAGGGAGAGAGAGAATGTGCCCACGATCGTGAGCAGGAAGACAGTTCGTGGTCCAAGGAGTTCTATGTGGAAAGGAGGTTTTTGATATATGCTTCGCTGTAATCAACCCTCACTTTTTTCGTTATATATGTTAATAATATTACGCCTCTTAGATTAACGAAGAATAGAATACCTCTCCTGTACGTCGCATCTCTATCTTGGACTATTTTACACTCATTTTGACTTTCTCTACCCACTTTACCTCTATCTTTTTCTACTACTATCCTATTAAAAGATAAAGATTTTTTTTGGATAATAAGATATTGAAGTAAGATTTAGAAAATTGGATCGGATCGGATTGGTCAGTTTAACTGGTTAAATCATGAAAAGATTGGCTAGTCAGTCTAGTTAACTCATAGAACCGGTTTTAAAGCAAATCGAGAAAAAATCGGTGTCTGGTTGGTCAGACCGGCAAATTATTAGTGTTGGTTCAAAAAAAAAATAGAGGATTTGCGTCATTGATTGTAGATCAAATGGTCAATGAGCAAATACATGAAAATAACCTAAAGATGTTCTAGGTCATTGTAATTCATTTCGCTCAATGCAAGTTTGTGTGAGAAGTTTTGTTCGACTCCCCGCTAGCCCTAGTTGCCGCTGCCATTGGTGATTGGCGAACATGACGACAATGTGTGTACAATGTCACTCCCATTAGTGTGTGCAGTGCAACCACCACTACTGGTAGCATGTAAGTTTTTTTTACCTAGTGTCGCTGATGTTCGATAGCAAGTTTGTGCGTGTAATGCTGCTGTCACTGTTAGTATTACTGTTTTAACATTGAATGAATTATATATTATGTGTATTTAGTTGTTTACAATTGAAAAAGATTTTTTCCAGTTATATTGATTGCCTACAATTTCTTAGCACTTACTTTTTATAATTATGTTGGATAGCTTATTTGTCACGTAGATACATGATATTATAATTTTATTATTACTACAGCTTCTTCATGCATTTTCTTCCAATTTTAAAAGCTCCCATGATTTTCTACCATCATTGTCATTCCTTGTCGTTTTTCTTTTGTTTGCCTCAAAAAAACATTGAAAGAAACTAAAATATTAATGAGTTCAAGTGTTATGACGACATTTTTCTTTATGCTTTGAACTTCATTTTAAGGACTCGAGAATAATATTTTATTCACATACATAATGTAATGCTTATTAAAGAGAATATATCTTATGCAAAATTTGAGTGACTAGTGGAGAATGAATGTTTAGGGACTGATGTAATGGATCGTCGGAAGATTCGACATGCAAGAAGGATTTCGATCCCAATCCAGGGAAGAAAAGGAACAAAAGCTTGAAAGCTTTAAAATGTCATAATATTCTTCAATGAGCCATCTACTACAATACTTGATATTTATAAAGCTAAAAGAGCATTCTAGAAGCTAGTACTAACAAACTAGATAAGATATCATAAGGAATACTTCAAGCTTAAAATGCTCCGCATCAAAATATATACATTTGCTACTACGTTTTGTACCTTCATTTGTGTTATAATTGCGGAGATTAGTACCCTTTTGCATTTATTTTTATTTTTTCAATTAATTAGTGTTTGGATTTTTTATATAATGGTATTGCCTTATTTATGAATATATATTTATTTTTATGTAAGCTTCTTCTAAGACGACTTTTTTATTACTTCTTAAAATAAAATCTAAAATTTTTGTTTGCAGATGGGTTAAAATCCAGGCTGGTTTTATTCAGGCTTCATTGATTTTATTATTTATTCGTTTGCAGATTAGAATAATTTGTAGAAATATTAAAAAAAAAAATGGTTGAGAGCTTATGCTTTCAACTAAGAGATCTTGGATTTGAGTCTTTGTGTATGCGTTGTGTGTATGAGTTTGTCTTAAATGGCCTAAATGTCTCAAAAAGAAGGTTTTGTTTTCATCCTTTTTTAAGATGCGAAAGTTTATCCTAAACAGCGAACAGCAAAAAAAACTATATTTTAGAAACATCTGTCGTGCTCGCACAGCTTTAAGTAAAGCTTATGCAAATGGGCCCCAAATTTGGTAGTTTAGCTGCTTTTTAAATATAAATAGTTATTAAAAACCAACCTGGATTCGAATCATGAGATTCGTGACTGCCGCAGCGTTGCAGCCTCTTCCGAACTTTTCTTATTTTTTTATTTTAAAGTTTATTTGGATTAATAATAATTTTAATAACCATTATAAGATAATATAAATCACTTATTATTTGGTAGCCATTTTTTGCCATGGGAGATAGCGGCTAGAAAAAGGATTCGATAATTAAATAAAATTATGATAAATAGAAATCTTATTTCATAAAATATTTAAATTATTAAAGTATTTAAATCACTTCACTACAGGCAGAGTGTGGGATTCTTTCAATATGGGCCGAAATTGCAGCCTTGGCGGGCTGGGCTGTGGGTCAGCCCAATGGGGGCTCGTCACCTGCTCAGTGTTCTTACTTTGTTAGCCCGCAGGCAGATCAACGGGCCAATACGCAGCTCGGTAGTTCCTCAATCAAATAGAAAGATTAGTTCCCATATTAAACTTAACTAGACAAGAATGATTAGTGTGCAGTTGAGTAGTTAATTTAAGGCTTCGTTTGGGACGGTTTTCTTATTGCTTGTCAAAGCAACTTTTTAGTATAAAGTTATTTTAAATAGCAATAAAAAAGTTTTCTTAAACGAAGCCTGAATTTTGTTTGGAACGACTTTCTTACTGCTTCTTAAATTTTTGTATTAAAAATATGTTTTAAATAGTAATAAGAAAATTATCTCAAAAGAAGCTTTGGACTAGAAAATACTGTTCTACACAGTAACCCTAAACAAGCAAACAGCTAACTACTCCATGACTTTATTTCTCCAAATCAGGAACTGAACCGCAATACCAGACATGTTTAATGGCTTTTGGGAGGAAGCTCAATTACCCAATCCTCTTGTATCATGGCTTCCTGCATTACTTCTCGTCCTCAGAACATGAGCGTCTCCTCTGTGTGTGTGTGTGTGTGTGTGTGTGTGTGTGTGTGGCTGAGACTGATAAGAGGGATAGGCTGGCAATGGAAAAAGCATTGAAAGTAGCTTTATAAGGTGTTTTCCGAAAGAGCAAAAGGATGAGTAAATGTGGAGATCGTCGTACTATCCACATGAAGGGCTACTTGTACTGTCAGGCAACTCACAGTCTCCACATGCTCTCCCACTCTCTTTCCCTCTCACTCACTCTCTTTCTCTTTAGGCTATAATATATTGTTCTCAATCTTCTGCTTCAATAGATAAATATAATACTGCAGACTCGCATTCGCACCTAAAAACAAGAAGAGAAAGCTGTCGGCACCAACTTACATCGATCATGGAAAACACCTACAAGGGAAAGGAATTCTTGCTCGGATACCTTATAAATGTGTTTAAATTTAGGATTATTTTGGGATGATTGTAACTTTTTAAAAAGATGATTATTAAGCTGCTGTAAATAAATCAGTTTTATTGAAAGCTACTATAGAAAGGGCGCCCCAGCACAAAAATTTATTAAAAGCAATGAAAAATAATGGTCAAATAAAAGTTATAATTGAGATCACAAAAACAAAGCAACAAGAAAGTTGTCACAAATGAAGCCTTAAAAAGAAAAATAAACATTAAAAATAAAAAAAGAGAAAGAAAAACAAAGGCCATGCAACTCGATCAATTTGCTTCTTGTTTATACATTAAAGCAATTTAATATAGAGAAAAGTTTTTTTGTTTTTGTTTTGGACTTGAGCAAATTAAGTCAAATTCATACACATTATATATGTAAGATTCAAATCCAAAATCTCTAGATTAATAGTCGAAAATTCTAGCCACAGATATTGATGAAGTAAGTTGTAGAGAAAAGTTAAAGATTGCAGGAAAAATTTTGTTTAGTGTACGATCCAAATTCAATTACTTTATCACATAGATCTTAATAATGTATAAAACGGCTTAAATTCTTTTAATGATATTTTTTTTGCTTCATGTATCATTGTTGCATGCTTCATGTTTTTCCTGAAGCATGCTACGTACCAAAACAGCTTAAATGATACGTGAAGCATTGGTTGAATCATTGTTGCATGCAACATTGGTTGAAGCATGCTACCAAAACAACAATGATTCTTTTGACCTTAATAATGTATAAAACAGCTTAAATACGTATAATTGTTGCTACACCATTATTTACTTCATGTTTTTATATATTTCTTTTGATAACTTATGTGGGTAAGCTAAACTTTGTGTAGATATCTTGTTAGATGCATGTTGTATGAAATTTCTTTAATGTTAATCTATGTATTTTCACCATCATCATTAAGATGGTGGGATTTTTTTTTTTTTTTGAGAGAGAGAGACATAAAGGGGGGTTCTCCTAAGATTCTCATATATTTCAATGTGACCAACGTAAAGAAAACTAAAGACCATTTTTACTATTTTTCATTGTTCTAAGGGAAAGATTGTGGACGCTATGATTATTAATGTGGGATTCTCTCTAGTTTGGATATTTGATGATTATAACCATCATCAAGAAAGCTTTTTCAAGTCCAAGTTGGCGTGATGGTAAATAACTAAATGTGAAGTTACCATTGTTTTAAAGGGAGGCAACTCAAAGCAACTAACCGATAACTCTAGGTAAGGGGATAACTCTAGGTAAGGGAATAATCAACGCTGGTGCGGTTATATTTATATACAAGGGACGTCATCATATGATTTTTCATTGTTAAGCAGTCGTATTATAGTTTAATTTATTATTTTGGTGCTACATTGTCTTCTAATTTTGATTACCACTATTTGGCATGTGTAGCAATTGGGGACATAATTTATCTTTGAGATATCATAGGATTTTATCATTGCTAAATAGTTGTATCAGAGTTTTGTGCATTATCTTGGGTACATATTATCCTTAAATATAAGAGATGGCGTAATATGATTTTTTATTATTAATTAGCGCTATTTTTGGCTATTGCATTGTCGTTATATAAAAGAGATTATATCATAGATATTTTTAGTATTAGTTAATCGTATAAGAGTTTTATTATTTTGGATAATATAGACGAATATTATGTTGGTATATCATTCATGGGGCATACTTTTTCTTTGATTAATATGAGATTTTAAGCTTAAAACAATAATCAACTAAGACCAATCAACATGATCTAAGTCCATAACTGAATAGTTTGCTAAACAAAATTTAGGTTTTGATGAACCTTTATAGACTTAGATAACTATCAAACTAAGAATTTTGTCATTTCTTTCTCCAGGAGGCTAAGGACCTATGGCTATTCTAATATTTCCCTACTAATTTCAATCATTTTTAAAGATATTTGCAGCTCCAAGGAAAATTGAGAGGGCAAATTATTACGTCCGGTGTCCAGATTCGTCCAAACACTAATCCAAACGTGTCACGTCACCAAAATACACCTGAACCAGTGTATTCGAGTGATATGGCGCGTCTGGATTGGGTGTCCGGACGTCCGGTGGTGACCGGACGTAATAATTCGCCAATTGGGAGAGGTTGAGCAACGTTTAAGCTACTATTGAAGGCTTGGTGAAGAGTCCCTTGAGACCTCTCTATAGCTGTAGGCGATAGGATATGACATCGGAGGAATCCACGAGGAAGAGGAGTCGAGCCTGGTTGCTTCTTCCATGGCGTTGAGAAAGCTACTAGTTTCTACCCACGCACGATCCCACGCTCTCCCAAACGACGCTCCAACCGCCCCTCTCACGTGTAACTCCCTCACGTTCTCAATTTCTCAAAACCGAAGCGTTGAGGAAGCTACTAGTCTAGGTCTTGTGGATATATCACTTGGAACTATATAAAATGCAACATATATTAGTTATTAAGAAGACTATATAAATGATGACAAGGAAGAATGTAAGCAATTAACAAAATCATGCATGCGCTCTGACAAATGTGCTAAAATCTTAAACATAAATGTCTGAGAATACTGCACGGGGTTAAATGCCCACTAATATTAAAATCTATTTTCAAACTAAATATATCCCTCATGTGCTCCGATCAGCACATTTGATTCTTAAATTCAACGGGCCAAGAACATTGTGCTCGGGTCAAATATTCAAATTTTCATCATCCTCCTTTAAAAGACCAGAGTTGACCTAACTTGAATTAACAAATGAATGCTTAATAACAAATTTGTTGTAACCCTTAAAAGGCTCTCTAAACAAAACTCATCACAAAACATAGTTTTTTTTTTAGCAGCATATAATCATCAATGTTAAACTATATCCTCAATTAGTACGTGAGCAGAATTGATAGTATTTAAATAATTAATTATGTGCAACTCAGATGATGATCACATTGAATATAAATCTCAATCGGATGAGTCAATGTTTAAATCTTATTAAAATTTTAGAATCTAAAATTTATCCAAATTTTAAACATTTAATTGGAAATTTTATCACCTAAAAAACTTAAAACTAAAACTCATCCACCTCCTGTAACAGTTTTTCAGGAGTGACAAATTTGAAATTAACATAAGCTCACAAAGAGCGAATCGAGTCAGGTGTATCAGTAAGGTGCATCCTCAATAGTCTCTTACCAACATGGACATAACATGTGCCTTCTGATTATGTGATTTTGCTGCAAAACACTAATTTATTACAATCATAGTCAAAGTCTTCCATAATGGTTTCAAACCATTGAGTAATGAATCATACGGTGTGCTCAATAGGCATAAAACCTCCTTTGTCAGCTAAGGTGGATTCTAATGTATTCCCTTAGACGAACGCCACCCCAGATCTGCAAGGTATCATTGGACGAAACAACTCATGACTGTCGATAAGATTCCATCAATCAGGTTGGGATGAATACCTCCTCTAACTAGGGGCAGAGCCAGGATTTTTTTGATGTGGGGGCACAAATCATTGATGTAAAAAAAAAAACCTAAACATTTTTCATCAGGGTTTAAAATTGGCATTGTCGGTTTTAATTTTTTTTAAATTGTTAGTTTTATTCTAAAAAGATAGAATATATGATAAAATAAAAAAAACTAACATTTTATCTATAATTTCTCTCTTGAGTCTTTATTTTTTGAAACCGCTGTACAATCAATTTTTTGTCAATGCTATTAAATATATCATTCTTATAGTATATAAAGTAGCTTTATAGTATAAAAATTAAAATTCATATACTTAAAAATTATTTTAAGAAGCATTAAGAAAGACATTCAAGACAAAGCCTTAGTTGCCAAATAGAGGGTTATATTTTTGTTATGCTCCTACTAATAGCAGTCAAAGTGCAATTTTTGCATGGCTAAAATAAGAATTTTGTGTTAATAATTTTGCATGGCTAAAATCTATATCATAGATTTAATATAGATGGAATTTAAATTTAAGATCTTAGTAGTAAGTTTTGAGATTTTTATCAATTAAATGAGTTGATATCCAGGCAATGATATAGTTTGTTTGAGTTCGAATTAAGAAAAATTATAATTGTGATTAATAATAAAAGTATTTTGAAGATATGACTACATAAAAGAAGTTGGGCTGTGAAAGAAAAAATGGACATAAAAAAAATTTCACATGGTCAGCACATTTAATCAGTAAATGATCTAAATTCAAATCCTATTTTTTTCAACATATTGGCTAAATAATAAAGCAGGAATTTGAATCGAAATGCAATATATATATCAGTAAATAATAAAGCAAGTTTTAAATCCATGTAATTTTTTTCCAACTTGTGTTCGTAGGAATTTATAATCCTAAGGCTGACAATGCGCCCTCTTAATAAGTATATTTTTCTCACTATATTTTCATCATTTGAATGATAATCAGTAAATAATAAAAAAATGATTAGACAAATTGAAAATCTTTTTCATAGAAAAATTAAAATTTTCTCAAGTGAACAAAAATAAACACACACTATCTGAAAATTTTTCATTTAAAATTTTAAAATTATTTTAACTCAAATAAAATTTTACAATTAATTTTTTTTAATTTAATTTAATTTTCACAAGTTAAAATAGAATCCTAAAAATAAAATTGAAACATTTTTTTGAAAAAAGAATGATAAAAAAAATACTAAAAATATATATTGGTTAAATGGTTTTTTGCTTTTTGTACATACAATGCAGTGGATTTTAGCTTTTATTTGCAATACAGTTACGAAGGGAGGAGAGAGAGAGAGAGAGAACTCAACAAATGATTTTTAGTTTCTTTTTTTTGCATTGACGGTTTGTATATAAAAAAAGTTACAAAAAAAAATCATTTAGCCACGTGCCCCAGTGCCCCCACCCTACCTCCGCCCCTGCCTCTAAGTAGTCTAGAGACCATGACAGTCAGAGATGACAGAATCATGAGATTTTGATCTGGCTCATCTTTATTCTCCCATCACACTTTTATGTCCATGGTGATAATTTTTAAAGCTCAAACTTTAAAGTGTAAAACCAAATTTAAAATTCCTAAATTTGGTGTTATTATATACTGTGCACTCAATGCCTATGCCACGACTAGCCTTAATCAAAAGCTCTCTCTCATTATCGGGAGAAATACTTAATTATATAGGAAACCAAAACTCAAATCATAAAATCCTCACAAAATGAATGTGAAAAATGAATGTGAAATTTTGGATAGTGTCTTATCTAAAACCCAATCTGCCTCCTGAAAAGTTACGTAGAACTTAAATATGTTAAAATTCTCCCCCGTCAAACAAAAGACACCACCCATTAATATCTACTCGATTAGCTCAATCGACCATAGAAACCTCCACACATATATCAACAACCTAGTTGGTCAAGCAGTCTTTATCATTTGATGCATCTCTGAATGTATCTAAAATCACTCGGCATCAATGATAACGCAAGCATGAGTGAGATTCGAACTTTTCTACTGCTTGCAGATTGAAGGGAGATCAGGAACGGAATCAAGTGGGATTCTCTGAGTCAACTTACTCAAGTTGATGGAAATAGACCTTCAACAAGAGAGAGATAACTCAATGAGAAAAGAATAGCAAAACACAAGTAATTCATCAGTTTTCACCTACATCCACCAGAAATGTAATAACTTCCAGATTATAGCTACAATTAGGAGGAAAAGGATGAGGAAGAAGAAAAGAGGAGGATCTCTCACAGCTTCTTAAAGTGCTCTGCACTCATCCTATCAGTATCTCTAAGTAATCTACCTATGGCGTCACAGTTATCGACTGTTGAGTTTCCAATCACTTGGTCACATGGATTGGCAACCTGAAGTAGCCTAAACCAACTCAATCGAGCCAAACAAAGACTCAATTAGTTAGTTAGCCATGCTAGATGAATATTTGGTCAATTCCCCACTTATACTATCAGGTATGGACTACCAGGACAATAGGAAAGTTTTTTATATGCCGAAATAAAATATATAATTTATAATATAAAAAGTAATAAATAACAGTTATTAAACACCACGATTCCTCTAATCTTTTCTATTGTAAAGCATTCAGATCGTGCTTTCAGCTAAGACTGCTTTCTCTTTGTAATATCATCAAACATGATGCGGGCAAGCTAAAGTTGTCGCCTTTTTTATTACGCAACAAAGCCGATCACCGATTAATTGAGGGCAAAAGCTAATGATTCGATAAACAAACAAACAGGATAGAAATCTGGGAGAAATAAAAAGAAATTAACAAGGTCAAGATCTAAAATTTCTCTTGATTGGGAGGAACTGGGCGCTTGGAATCGAGGTAAGATTGCAGTGCATCAATCTGTTCCCTTGTTGGCGGTTTCTCGTTGTATTTGATAGATCTGTGAACATCATAAGTAGTGGCAGCCAGGAACAAAAGCCTGAATTTTATTTTAGTTTTTTATGAAGTAAAGATAGAGTCTTTGAATTTGAATCGCGAATTAATGAAGAGAAAGGAAGAGAAAAAGAAGTGGAGGTACCCTGAAGCGAGAAGAACAATCTGCCTCGGGAATACGTGCTTGCCGAAGAGCCTCATCAGGGATTTTTTTTTCTCTGTTCAAACTAAATAAAAATTATAAAAAAAAGGCTATAACTATGAATTGGAAAGGATTGGCATGAAATAAGATTAGTCACATGACCTTACATCCCACATATAAAGGGAGCAATAGCTACAACCTCTATATTCTGATCGGCCAGTGAACCGGCAAATTCTCCCATCCTTGTTGGTCATGAACAATATGGTGGTAGTGTATCATCATCTCAATTTTAATAGATTTCTCCTGATTAACTCATATTAATTTGAACTTCCAAGAATTCTTGAAACCTTTACATTACATCGGACCGGCCCGGACACATTCCGAGTTCAATCCTGACGCGTCATATCACCCAATAATTTGTGCATTAGGTGACGTGGCACATCCGAATTGGCCTTTGGACTCGTCTGGTGTCCGCGCATAATAATCTCTTGTATTCATGAGCCATCTGTAGCATTGGATTGCGCATAATAAGATGAACATTTTGGTATAACAATAATGACTTGTTATTTACTTTTTTAATGATCCTAAATTTGGTATTTACATTCATGGTTGAATGAAAAATTAGAGAAAAATATAATACTTATGTAGTATAATCGGAAGGTAGGACTTAATGAAGTTGCATATCAAGCTCTTATGAAGTTACTAGGTTGGCCTCTATTGATAGTCAAATACATAAAGTTGATTATTCGGAGGCCAAATTTTATAAAGAACCAAGCTAATGATTAAAATTAGCAGAAGAAGCATAGATAAAATAAAATTTAATTAGGAGCAAATTCGCTAAATTAAATGGCGTATTAAGAATATACCATATAACTTGGCGTATTCCCTTAAGCAAAAGAAAGAGAGGAGGAGAGAGATGACAGTAGAGAGAGAAAAAAGAGAGAGGAGATGGCAGCGGAGAAAAAGAGGGAGAGAGAGAGTAGAGAGAGAATTTAAATATTAATTTATAATAACTTATAAGTTTTTAATTTCTGTTTTTAAAACTTATATTTAATATATTTAATTAAAACTTATAAATTTTGTATTATTTAAACTAAAAATTTAAGTTAAAACTTATCTTTAATATATTTAATTTAAACATAAGTTTTTAGTTTCCATTTTTAAATAAAAATTTTTTGAAACTAAAAATAAATAAAACTTATATTTAATATTTATTAACTTATAATAACTTATAAATTTTCAGTTTCAGTTTTTAAAATAAATATAATATAAATTAAATAATTAATTAGATTATAATAATCTAACAGTATTTAATTATTATTTATTAATAATAATCTAAAATGTCATATTAAAATAAATAACTTATAAATATTGTAAATATTATAGTTTTTAATTAAATTATAATAATCTAAAAAAGTATTTAATTAAGTATAGTCACGTCAGTAGTATCGAGCCGCGGTACCGAAGAGTACCAAGTCGTGGGATGACGTGGCGTATTTTTTTTATTATGTGTGGATATTAACAGAAAGAACCCTCAGATTTTTTCTTTTGTCTACAATCAAAGCACAACTACACCAGCTCTCCTTGGCCTATTGGTTGAGAACTTAGGCGTATTTATAAGTTATTTATTTTTAATATGACATTTTTTATTATAATTAAATAATAAAATTTAAATACTTTTTTAGATTATAAAATTTAAATTAATTATTTAATTTTATATTTATATTTATTTTAAAAACTGAAAACTGAAAATTTATAAGTTATTATAAGTTAATAAATATTAAATATAAGTTTTATTTTATTTTTAGTTTCAAAAAAAAATTTTATTTAAAAACGGAAACTAAAAACTTATGTTTAAATTAAATATATTAAAGATAAGTTTTAACTTAAATTTTTAGTTTAAATAATACAAAATTTATAAGTTTTAATTAAATATATTAAATATAAGTTTTAAAAACATAAATTAAAAACTTATAAGTTATTATAAATTAATATTTAAATTCTCTCTCTACTCTCTCTCTCTCCCTCTTTTTCTCCGCTGCCATCTCCTCTCTCTTTTTCTCTCTCTACTGTCGTCTCTCTCCTGCTCTCTCTTTTGCTTAAGGGAATACGCCAAGTTATATGGTGTATTCTTAATGCGCCAAATAATTAAGCGTAATATGAAATACGCCATTTCATTTAGCGAATTTGCTTCTAATTAATTTTTTTTTTATCTATGCTTCTTCTGCTAATTTTAATCATTAGCTTGCTTCTTTATAAAATTTCCCCTTATTAGTTTTGATACATCATCACAAAATTAACTTGATCGGGCACGAATCTCGAGGCAAAAGCTAGTTGAAAACTTCAAAAATTAATTTTGGGGGCACCCGAACTCCGATTTCAACGAGCTTATAATTAAACTGAGCGTCTCGGAAATAGGAATCCAACGACACCAAATTCAACCCAATCCGAGCCCAAATGAGTCCGAATCAAGGGCTCAAAGCGCTGTTGGAAGGTTCAAACCGCAATTTGAGTTACCAAACGTTATCGGTTTTTGACGAGCTTATACTCGAATCGAACGGCTCAACGAGAAGAATCCAACGAGCCCAAGATTGTCGAATTCCGACATCATTAAGACCTTCAAATGCCCAACGAATGGTGCATGATCAAAGGATTCAATATCGGCCGTCCATTCAAAACACTCCCAATTCGCCTCTGATCTCATGCCTATTTACGGGCTATGCCACTCCAGAAAAACTATAAATAGAGCCCTCATTCTACACCAAAGGAACTCAAGTGAAGAGAGAGAAGAAGAAGAGGAGGAGGAAGAAGCTCCTCCTCGACCACCGCCGGAGCTCTTCCTGCCGCCTGAAAACGCTGGAACTCTACCGGATATTCGGGAGAACGCCAGAATTCTGCCCAACTTCCATGGGATGCTGAAATTCTTCCCAATTTAGAAGAGAGTTCCCTCCTGACGCCAAAACTCCGCCCAAGTGAAGCCGGAGTTCTCCTCTGCCACCAAAGACGTCGGACTTCTACCCGACGTCGGACCTTCACTCTTCGCCAAGTTTCTACCCGACGCCGGACTTCTACCGGTTATCAGACTTCGCTGGACGCCTATGCGAAGATGCATTTCTTTCCATTGCTGGACTTCTACCTGACGTTGTCCTTCTGATCATCGTCGTCAGACTACAGTCTTTTCGACCTCCGTCGCCCGCGATCCTCCTGACTTACATCGCCCGCCGACTACAGTCCTCCGTTGCCAGCTGACTACGGTCCTCCTGACCTACATCGCCCGGCGACTGTAGTCCTTCCATCAAAATGAATACGTCAATAGTAGCTCTTTATATTTACATCATGTAATGTACTCCATATAAGATGTACATCAAGCTAAGGCCTTCTCCCAATGAAGGGCATCATTTGTAATCGATTGCAAATACTAGTGAATTCGTTCAAACTGGGCTAGGCCCCGTGGTTTTTCCCCCTTTTACAGGGGTTTTCCACGTAAAAAATCTTGGTGTCTCATAAATGCTAGACCCTCTCTCTCTTATCTGATTGCGTGCCGGATTTTCGTACAACGCTAAGACGATAAACTTTATATTTCTCTACCGCCACGAATACTCCTGGACGCAACAAGTTTACTTCGGGAAATTGTGCTTTCTCGAGTAGTCGTTAGGAATGATTTCATAAATTATTATCGTTAGGGTCAATTGATAGATCTTACTCGCTCGACTATGACAAGTTCTTATATGATAGTCACATGTGTGAGATGGGTTCTCATGTAGACAAACAAGTCTCTTTTGAGTTGAGATCGAATTAACTTGGCTTAAGTCCACTTGATTTAATTCTAATCAGGTCAACTTAGGGGTCAAATTTAGCGTGACAAAAATGGTCAAGTTATTTCACTATTTTTGTATTATTATGTGCGTCTCTCGAACAATTATTATGTCAGGTCACCTGACGTAGTTCTACGTTCGGACGACAATAACATGTCGCCACGTGGTCTTACTCGGCCCTACGACTTGATCCGTGATTGTTATGTTCGCGTGTTGCTCTAGGTATTACTCGATATTACTCGATATTGCTAGGTATTGCTCGGTATTGCTTGACAATAATGAAAAAAATCGCTCTGTGAAGACCAATACCGAGCAATACCGAGTATACCGAGCAATACCGAGAAAAACTCTGTATTGCTCGGTATTGATCTTTACAGAATGGTAATTCTCGTTATTGCCGAGCAAAATCGACCAATATCGAGCAAATACCGAGCAATACTTAGTAACACGCGAACATAGCAATCCCGTCTCCGTTCCGGGTCGGGGTTGTCGGGCCGCGCGGTAAATCACGTGGCACTATTTTACTGGCGTCCGAACGTAGAACTACGTCAGGTGACCGAACCAAATAAAAGTTCCTCCTTAAGAGCAATCAAGCACCACCGATGGATCTTGAATTGGAGGCCACTAGACTTTATTTATAGCACGCTTATAGTCAAATCTAGGGGCTAAACAAGACAAATCTAATAAACCCAAGGTCACTTGATTTTGATATCATTAAAGAATTCAAATATTTGACAAATGATCTTTAATCAATGTGATCAATATTGACCATATCATGGAGGTATTTAGATTCTAGCCAAATTTACAAGAACGCTCATCTCAAAAAATGTATAAATAGAATATCATTTTCTACAGAAGAGTGATCCAACTGCTCGTAGAACTAAAAAGCTCTATTGCACTTTTTTAGATATCACCATCAATGACCACCACCAACAATCTCTAACATGGTCTCCAGACTTTTGTCAATATATAATCTTGTTGTTAGGTTGTTAATTGTCCACTTGCGGACATTTAAATTCTATAATCCCTACAATTGGAATTGGTTATATATTTCAAACATAATCTCTTCTTCTTCAATTATGAGGGAGCGATAATTTTTGGATCTTATATTTTTTAGTGAATTGTTGCAGCCGGGCCAGACCTATGATTTTTCTCCTCTTTAAATTTTTCATGTAAAATATTTTTTTTATCTTCAACAACTTTTTTTGAGCATGTTAATTTTTTTTTATAATGCTAAGATAATAATCTCTCACACTAATGTGTAGACTTGCAAAACCCAATACCTTCGATTTTATTTAAGTAGAAAATTACTCCTAGGTTTACACTTTAGAGGGAGGGAG